CCGGGGCTGTTTAGAGCGCGGTGTCCTGGTGTGGGAGGGCGAGCGGCGGCAGCACCGGCGCCCTCAGTCCTGTCAACCGCACGCCGGTCCACTGAGAGGACGTGCGAAGGAAACGGTGCTCGGAGACCGCATCTGAATACGACCACCAGCCCGGCGTCGCGGCCTCGCCGCAGCCGGGGCTGCCCGGCCCGGTTGGTTCTGCGGGCGCCCGCGGAGGCCCGGGATCCGGGATCCAGGCTGCCGGGAGGCGTGGATGAAAAAGGTGACCGCAGGCTGCACTCGGGTGCCTACGGGATCCACGGTGGGGCCGCGGTATTGGCGGGCTGCGCTGCGTGCAGCCAGCGGTCAACTTCCCGGGAAGGTGCGCGCTTCTCCCAACCGGAATGGGACAAAGGGTGTGCAGCCTGGTTGAGGCCCGCAGAGCCCGTGCCTCCCACGGTCAGGAAGTGACGGGTTTCGTTGACGGACTCCTATGGAGTCCACCGCTGCTGGCGAACGACCGGAATGCGCCTGGGGACGCAGCCTGGCGCGCGGGCCAGTGGGTCCTTGTTGGACTGATGTGTTTTGCTTAGTGGCGTTGGCGTGGCTGGTTCTGGGAATGGGTTTCACTCCCTAGCGCAGTGACAGGGTTCTGGGCACCTGGGCGAGATGCTTAAAAGTGAATAGATTCAAAGAGAAGTCCTGTGCTATGAAATCCTTTAGCCTGGGTATGTGTCTTGTGTTGTTCTGTTCCAATTTTCTTAAGCCAGTATTAGAAAGATCAGATCCAAACAGGAAAACTGCACACCATTTGTTGTTGCAGCACCATTTTGTGATGTTGCTTCGAGTTTTACGTCCCGGTCTTTACCCCTCAGTCTGTTTCCCTGTTAGCTTTGGTGCCTTGTTCTGTCTAGTTTTCTTATTCAATAGGAATGTTCTCAACAGTTGCCTTGAGACTAGTGTGGTGTCTGCTGAAGAACGCAATGTTTCTCTTTCCTGCTTCATCACACAGCCTGTGCTTAAGATGTTGGAATGTACTTGATCCTTAGTTTATTGTGAGTGTCACTCACTTAGGCTGCAGATAGCTGCTATTTTGTTTATCGATATTTTTTTGTGACAGTGATATAAGTTAACGCAAGAATCTTGTTGTTTCCAGAATTGTTTACATAGTTCAGTTCCGATTCTTGAAATTCGCCTGGAACATAATAGCGTTTGCTGTCACTTTTCCGGTGTTCTCTAACCTGTTCCATGCAACAGGCTCTGTTGCAGGAGCCTTGTAGTCGGTCCATCTCCCATATTCCGCCTGGGAAGGTTCCCGGAGTGCAGAGCCTCTCTCTTGCATGCCAGCTTCAGAGGGAGCGGCAGCTTTGGCCCGTGGAGCACTGGGGGCTCCGAGGGCAGCGCAGGCCGTTGCATTAGGCAGGTGCGCGGCAAGATCACGCGCGTCTCCAGAAAGCAGACGGGAGGCCAGGGGCTACTGGCGGTGCGGGGAGCGAGGCCGGCCCAGGCTGGGCCATGAACTGCGGCGCCGTGGGGTAGGTGGCGGGACAGTGGGTTCCATAGCGCTGAGGCCAGGCCTTGCCCCCCTGC